ATTTGGCATGAAACATCTTCTAGTGAGTGTCTACCAAGATTGTTCAAATAAAATCCCTGGGGTCAAAATTGGCCCCGCCCCAGGGGGTCATTGATTTTCCCTATATGCATATAGTAAAAACTTAAAAAAATCTTCTTTTAAAGAACCCAAAGAGCTAGAGCTAAGATATTAAGCATGAAACATGTTCTAATGAGTGTCTACCAAGATTGTTCAAATAAAAGCCCCGGGGTCAAAATTGGCCCCGCCCCAGGGGGTCATTGATTTTCCCTATATGCATATAGTAAAAACTTAAAAAATCTTCTTCTAAACAACCCAAAGAGCTAGAGCTTAGATAATTGGCATGAAACATGTTCTAATGGATGTCTACCAAGTTTGTTCAAATAAAAGCCCTGGGGTCAAAATTGGCCCCGCCCCTGGGGGGCATTGATTTTCCCTATATGCATGTAGTAAATACTAAAAAAAAAACTTCTTTTTAAGAACCCAAAGAGCTAGAGCTAAGATATTAAGCATGAAACATTTTCTAATGAGTGTCTACCAAGATTGTTCAAATAAAAGCCCTGGGGTCAAAATTGGCCCCGCCCCAGGGGGTCATTGATTTTCCCTATATGCATATAGTAAAAACTTAAAAAATCTTCTTCTAAAAAACCCAAAGAGCTAGAGCTTAGATATTTGGCATGAAACATGTTCTAATGGATGTCTACCAAGTTTGTTCAAATAAAAGCCCTGGGGTCAAAATTGGCCCCGCCCCAGGGGGTCATTGATTTTCCCTATATGCATATAGTAAAAACTTAAAAAAAATCTTCTTTTAAAGAACCCAAAGAGCTAGAGCTTAGATATTTAGCATGAAACATCTTTTAATGGGTGTCTACCAAGTTTGTTCAAATAAAAGCCCTGGGGTCAAAATTGGCCCCGCCCCAAGGGGGTCATTGATTTTCCCTATATGCATATAGTAAAAACTTAAAAAATCTTCTTTTAAAAAACCCAAAGAGCTAGAGCTAAGATATTTGGCATGAAACACGTTCTAATGGATGTCTACCAAGTTTGTTCAAATAAAAGCCCTGGGGTCAAAATTGGCCCCGCCCGGGCTGACATTGATTTTCCTTTTCTTTGAAAAAAACCGAATAGCTAGAGTTTAGATATTAAGCATGAAACATTTTCTAGTAAGTGTCTACCAAGATTGTTCAAATAAAAGCCCTTGGGTCAAAACTGGCCCTGCCCCAGGTGTGTCATTGTTTTTAACTATATGTGTAAAGAAAAAAACTTGACCAGCTAGACCTTGGATGTTAAGCATGAAATATCTTCTAATGGGTGTCTACCAAGTTTGTTCAAATAAAAGCCCTGGGGTTTAAACTGGCCCCGCTCCGGGGGCCTATATACAGGTGAGCGACTTCAGGGCCATCATGGCCCTCTTGTTTATCTTAAAGAGGTTACTTTGTGTCATTTGTCTTATATTTTTTCATGGTAAGCGTTGTTTCAGTTGTAGATGTAATACTTTAAAAGACATTATGCTCAATTTTACACAGTCGAGCTGAGCTGAACCAATAATTTATTTTAAAATATTGATTTTCATAATGGTGACAGGCCTACTGTTGATATTGTAAAATGTTTAGGATGAAATATAAATTTGCCTTCAATACAAACAGACTGCCTGACACTTTTGATTTAATTAAGTCTCCATGGGTCACGTAAGTCATTATAGAAGTAAAGTATCAAAATTGAGTAACGTATCTGGCAAATTGTTAATTTATTTTGACGTTCACCTGTTCACTCACTATATATCCTTGGATGACCAAAATGTCCTTTAAATAATCTATATTGGGCCATTTAGTTACACCGACACTGCAATGGTCACAATGCAAAATTCCAGGTTTAAAAGTGAACGAAGAACTCGGTTCCTTTCCCGTGAAAACAAAATGCAGAAAAACAACAACAACAAACAACAACACCAACAAATTGTTATCAAGCTTGCATAGTATAATACAAACAGTGGTTTCATTAACTTACCGGTGTCAAACAAGGGAATTCTGTTTGTTCAATTCATACAAAGATTTAAGTACTTAAGATGCTGATGAAAGCATATGAACCTTCAAGATGTATTACAGTTCGCCAGTTCGTTTGCCTGCCAATGAAATCGCTCTATTTTCTTTAAATTCTGCCGAAATATTTACTATACAGCGTTGTAACTCAACTGTATGTATTAAATTTAAAATTTACACAGGACTACGCTTATTTACATAATGCACTCGAATAAATGGGCGAGGCTAATTTATAACTCGGTTAAAGATTATATACAGTTTTAAGAAACTAATTCGTTCCTCGAAAATTAATTTCTTAAAATTCTGTATATAACCTATCTTGATAATACAATCTTTACCTAACACAGCATAAAAATGGTCTATCGGGAACGACGCATTTAGTGATGCATTTTGTAAATATAACGTTTAACAGGGAAGTGCTCAATACTTAATGGATAAGGCGAAGTTTGCTAAGTTTTGATTTACGCAAAACAAATCGACGATATCGTGCTTTGCGACTATTTCGATTTTTCTTCATTTTCGTTGATTGTGGTTTTTCTTTGCAGGTGCATATCAATAAATGTGAATTAACAGTTGTTGGTGCCTTTTGATTTTTAATAATTCTTTCTCCGGTTTTGAATAATAATTTCCTTCGTCTATAAAAGAAAAAAACAACGAAACACACAAATTAAAAAAAAACACAATTTAAAATAAAACACAAAAAAGAGCTCTGCGGTTGTAATTCTTAAACAGTATGACATTTGCTCCGGAGTGTATCTACATCTAAATAGACAAGGGCAAGCCATTAGCACATATTAAGCTGATATCGTTATAATCATTACTAAAACTTCACTTAAAACGATACAGTAAAGCGATAATGTGAAATTCTACCTATTCTATTAAATCCCTACTTTTGATGCATTAAGGCAATGCATATAATGCGATTTTTAAATTGGCTAATCGGTTAAATCTAGAAAAAAGAAGCTAAATTAATGCCTTTCAGTAATTCATTTAAATTGAAATAACTAAGTTACGATAAAATCTCAAGATAATTAAAAGATGATACTGAACGTGCTATTTGAGTATCGGAAAGTAATCATTCTTCGGGGTTACAATACAATTTAATTAATTATGCATATGGACCAAATGTATAAAAGTCAGTATCTTAATTGTTATTCCTTTAAAAAGATAAATAAATAAATAAATAAATAAATTCATAAATAAACAAATAAATAAATAATAAAAAAATAAATAAATAAAAAATAAATACATAAATCAATCAATCAATCACTCAATTAATCAATCAATAAATAAATATGTATGTGTTATACTTTGTGTACTAACGGGTAGCTGATGAATGACTTTCCCACAAAAAAAGCATCGGATATTTCAAGGTGTTTGCATAAAAACGCAAGGAAAAACTGCTTAGCTATTTCATATGATGCAGCACAAACCATCCACTGCTACTATTTAATTAAAGGCCTTCTAACAAAAGCAAAAATATTACCACAGACAACCATATCAACGACGAAATCTATGTTTATTTTACAATACATATTGATCGCATGTTGCAATAAAAGTTTTATATTGTACCGTTTTTTTGCAACCCCGAGATCTTGCATTTTTCAATTTTATCTTGAGACTGTTCATATATGTTTTTTTTACCTTGCATTTTGTACTTATTTTGTATCATACCGGGTAGTTATCAACATAACATAGTTGTTTAAAATGTCATTATCAAAGATAAACGAAATTTTTGTTACATTTACTTTAAAACTGTCAAATGTTACATTTTCTTACGATATATTTGTTGTACATCAAACATGCATATTGTTTATGAATGTTTAAAAATGGCATACTCTTTTAAGAAGTGTGATTTTTTTATATATGCCCATCATCTAAAATTGTTGAAATGTTCTGTCGACAAAATAGTAAAGAATGTAACCAATAAATAATAAAATAAACTCAAAATACTTTCACATGAAAGTGAATGCGTACAGCAGCTGGGCATTGAAATAAAAATAATATATACCAATACCACTGTTTTCGAAATGGTAGTCACAACGTAGTAGTAAAAAAATCAAAACTGCGTTACAAGTAACCTAAAATTAATTTTCATTTGCTTATTTTTAATGTATTGCATAGTGTTTTGATACTTTACTAGATTTTACATAATAAGTAATATCCATATATTGCAGAGGAGAAAACAAGAGAAAAAACCTAACACCAACACACACTAAGAGAGCAAACAACAAACAAACAATATACAAACAGATTAAAGCGTAATAATACTTGCCCCAGGATAGTGTTGTATATCACACAACTGGTAATAAGCAAGTTTCATCAAAAACATATTAATTGCACGTCTTTAAGAAAATATGCAGACTTCCCATTTAATTTCTATCCTATGAAAACAGGTAGATCAATTGCATTAAAAACATATTTTATCCTCAAAACTATTCATTCTTAAACGAAAAGAAAATCCTTATGTAATTAATTATTATTAAATCAAATAGAATCATTGTTTTGAAAGTACGAAATAAAATTTGCAAACTGTAAAATGCAAAACACCGAAGCATTATGATCACCTCATTGTATTTTCCATTGTTATTTCATGTTTGTTGTGTGATATTGTTTTTAAGGCCTGAGGCCTTTGTTACAAGAATAAACTTTACTTTACTGTTATTACTGCTTAAGGAACTAACGTTCATAGTTATCATTTTTGACGTCATCATGGTAGTTAATTATGCTTAAATGATACGCTAATGCCAAAAATATTAATAAAAATCATTTTATACGCTTTCATTATAATTTTTGATCATTTCGCAGAATTAAGATGATTATCATAGAACAATTGTACACATATCTTTCATCCTATCATGTCAAACAACCCTTTTCTTAACGTCAAAACAACCACACCAGAGTCTCTTAAAATATAATTATCTTCTCTCTGTTTACATGCTAAGTATGGTATTATACTCTTACCTGGTTTACTGCTTTTTGTTTTAAACAACACGAAGATAGAATTTCTTCTTTGAAATTTAACTTCACAAAATTAGGTCCATTCACTCAACAAACCGTCACAACATTTAACAATTCATGTAATGAAAATCTGCAGACTTTCTATACGATTCGCCAAGCAATCTGATATAGAGATAACTCCAAATGAACTTTGTAGTCTTTTCTTTCAAGCTATTCTTTCGTCTAAGTCGCTTCATCAAGTGTTACCATCAATTGTACAAATTAAATAATTGCTAATTGCAATACGTATATATGCCGGAGGCGTCTTGATGCATGCATTAATATTATAAAACTGTAACATAATTTAATTAAACGAAAAACGGGATAAAGAAACAGAAGACATGGAAGATAAAGGAGTACAATCAACAGGTTGGTTTACACCAAAACGTAAATAGCATATAAATAAATCAAGCGCACGGTAGTTACATAAACATATTGTTTTACTGAAATAAAACCAGTACAATTTACAATTTTTTATACATACAGACTTAACCATCGGTTTGTTGAATAGATTATTGTTTGCATAATATAACAAGCATGTAGTTATTCATTGTTTTACGGTTTATATCTGAACATAACTGAAATATCTTAACTAAACCTCAGTTTTGAAAAAAAATCATGGAAGTGAACAAGCCTTACTTTATTGCTTAACAAATATGTTAGAAATACTCCTGTTTGTGAACTTTCTATTAAATAAATACATTTTTCTAAGTTTGTTTCAAAAAGCTTATTCATAATGTTTCATATTTAATCATACAAAATTTATTCCTTTTACATGTAATAGTGTACCGCATCGTATTTTAAAGTGTACAAAGCTTTATATCTGATGCAAAAATTATTGTTTGGATTTTAAAATAAAGAATAAAAATGCTTCCAAAATGAATGTATGAAAAAATGGCAATAAAATGCCTTATACCGCGAGTGACGCATGCACAAAGTCATTGCTAAACGGATAAAATCCTACTTAAAACAAGGGGGTGGTGATACCATGCGCTCGCATCCACTGATACCGCGAACACTTTTTCAACCGGTATTTTGAACAAAAAAGAGTCATGTAAAGCAATCAGAATAGATTTGATTTTAATTTCTTTTGCAAAGAAGATGTCCCATATTCTAGTTTTAATATTCCAAATGCATTGACACAAGTCTTCCCTTTCTCATCAGTATTTCGCGTTGAATGCGATTTTGATTCTAGCCGGCGTTGAAATGTTAGAGAATTTGAGAAATTGTCGATTTAACTGAAAGTTTTACACAACTGGAAGTTAGTTTATAGTAGAATCTTTTTAACAAATATATTTTTAGTCTTTGTTATTTTTCCTTTGTACGAAAAAACCGAATTATTTACAGAAAATAGACATTATGATATTGCGTACACTCTCAAAAAATCAAGATACTGGGTACACATTTATATGTTATTGATTCTGCCTACACTTTCTTCCAAGCAGTCTAAATTCATAATGGGATAAAATGGATAACACTAGAGAACAAAAAATAATAAAATGATATTTAAAATAAAAAATAAGATTCAAATCCTGTGATAAAGTATGCTCCCTCAAACTGAATATCCTGAAAACGGTTTGAGTTTAATATTTTTCATTAAATTTGTTTACTCATTTGTGTAACACTCAAAACTGATAATTTTTAGTACACAGCATTTTAAAATAAAAAACTTTTTATGGTCAAATTTATAGCTCATTTAAAGAGATGAATGTATTTTGATTTTGTCGCGAATTTCTTCTCCAGACAACACTAGTGACGATCGACGTTTCACTACAATCATCGCAAGATTAGTGTCAGAATATACAGTGTATCCGAAGCTGATGAAAAAGCGCTTTTCTAATTAAGGATATATGCTCTCGTAATCAGCCTTATTGCATTAAGAACATGATTTGAATAATCAGCCTGGTTTACAAATATCTTGGTTCAGCAGACGGTGAATAGACATACACTTCACTTTGTAATAGACAGTCGAGGATCTTAATAACAGACACGTGAGAGATGGGATAAATTGGTACAGAAAAGCGCGGGGTTACAGGTGTACCCTGTAAACTAAAATATTATAAATTAATCATACGGCGTGTATTGATGTGCATAATTGTCTGATTTTCATAAAAACGCATAGCTGTAAAATTGTGTTGTTTGTAATCAGAAACAGATTGAATATGAATATCATTTTTATTGATTTGTCCAAAATTTAGTAATATCAGGAACTAAATAGTATAAATTGTGGTTTTCACTAAATAAATTTTAACTGTTACACTTAATGAATAATAATAGTGACTGTAACAAAAGTTAGGTAAAATTAGCAACTCATGAAAGCAAGAACACCCATCCATCTGGCTATGGAACAACATGGATTTGCACAGTGAACCAATGTTCAATATAGATACATAACGTTAATATTTATTTATTCAAAAATTGTGAGGTATATTTTTGATTAATTTAAAATATTGTAATATAGATCTACATGCATTTTTGTCACATTATTTATAATATATTTGTACAAGACCATACTTTTGCCGATTACCGAATAAAGATTGATTAATTGATTGATTGTTTAATCGAATGAATCAACGTAAAAATCAATTACAAAAAGTATGATATTACTTTAAGGTATAAGTGTGTTTTTAGAACCACTAACATCACGGCTGTAATGAAAGTGAGCGCATCAGCCTATTTGAATACTAAAAAAGTAAAGAAAAAGTGTAATCTAATTCAAACGTATGTAAATGTACATGAAGCTACGAAAACAATAAAATACAACTTTATAAGGGCTAAAGCGATTTATTCCTTCATAAATTATTCAAATACAAATATGTCTAGAGACGAGAAAAAAACCCAAATATCCTGTTAGCGTTGTTAGACAAAAAGATAAAGTGTATAAATGAACGCTCATTGTATCTGTTATATTTATAAGCAATCTGGAGAAAATCAAACTCAAACATTATCATTGTTGGCTAGTTTAAAATCTGACGTAATAAATTTCATAATGCATTTTATTATAAGACATACGTTTGATTTAAACATTTTTCGTGACTTCTTTGTCCGTGATACCCAGTGTTGACGGTTAATAAACTAGGATTAGACTTTTAGCAGATAAATGTGGTAAAATCTATATTTTGTCTGCTGCTTATCTTAGTAAATTCTTACTAAGAAGTTAGACGCTATTAGAAAAATGAAATATTTGAACTGAGCATTTGATGCCGCTTAGTGTAGCTGCTTAAAACGTCTGATGTTTTCCTTCGAGTTTGTCTCACTTTTCGTATGCGCTCACGGTATTTAAAAAAGTAAGGACGATTCGTTTTAAGGCATAAATAGTTAACAAAACAAACTACTGAAAACAGACAGATAAGAAAATGTTCAGATTTATTTTTGTCTTGGGCCAAAAAGCATATCAATACCTGATTTTCATTAGGTAAAATAATGCACAAAGCTAAAGACTTACAACATTCTTATTCATTGGTAAAATCAATCACCCCATCACTCTTGAGAGAGATGCCCTAATTTATCATGACGATACAGACTCCAGCCTTATGTTTTCATTTCTATCCAAATGTAGATAAATGTGGATTGACGCAATTGCAAGACTTGATTAACGGACGCATGTTTACGATACCTTTGCAGTTGCAGTCATATCTCTAGGCACACAGGTGAGTTTGATTAGCAAATCTAATGAATCTTTAAAGTCATTTGGAATGCTTCGGTACTTCATTGAGAATTAATAGAAGCATAGTTCTTTGAGCGTGTGATAAAATCTCATGAGATTTGAATAAATGCAGTAATAATGTAGACAATGTTAAAATCAGATCAAGTTAATTAAAGGAAACAATTACAAAATAACCTCTGATAACTAGAAAAAAATATGAATTGTAACAATTCTAGAGTTTGCATAACTATAACAACAATATATTTAACATGCCACGGTACATCCGGCTACAAAGATAATTCATTGACATTTTCCTATAGTTCGAGTGGTTTTAAAGAAATCTATATTATATCATCTAATAATAATTGTGTGCATTATTATAGTCAGTTTGACATATAACGTCTACTACATAGTCATATATAATATTCAAAATGCTTACCTTTTAAATTCATTACATTGATAGCCATTAATGAAAGCAAAATATTTTGAAAACGGGTATTGTAAAAGTTTTAATGTAGTAAAACAGCATATAACCTTTTTAAATGAATCCAGAATTAAGCCTTTTTCATATAGTGATAACATTATGTTACAAGAACATTGTGCTTATTTATCTATTAACCTTGATGTCATATCTAACATGTAACTGCTATTGTAGAAAATATATAAATTGTTTAATACCCGGAGGTGTATTGAAACACTGATATAAATTTTCAAAAGAATTTAATTAAAAATGGTATCCAATGAGACAAATGAAAATACGTTCTAAAAGTAATAAACAATAGAACGAGCAATCGAAAAACAAAAATATAATACATGGTATTCAAATAATCATGTTATCTTATTTCCTTTGTTATGACACATTTAAATCAAGGCACTTTATTGGCTTCTTTCTTTATAAAAAATAGGGTAATGGTTGTTTTTGTAATTCGTGTAAAAACTAGTCATTAATAAATTGATGAGTAAACAAAATACCCCTAAAGATACGCATGGTGTATTTAGTATTTAAAAGTGTGACTTCATCCGATTAAAAGTCAAAAGATAGGCAGGTCGTGAACTTCAATAAGATTTATACTTTTAGGCAAATGTGACACACTATTTATAGTTTTAAAATCAAGGACAAATATCTTCGCATAGGTAAAACTTTACATGAATTATGTAAACCAACTGGCACTTCAGTAAGGTTAAAATGGATATAAGAATAAAAAAAGAAAGAAAAAACAAACAAAACAAAAGTAAACAAAAAACCCCAAACAATAAACAACAACAAGTAAGTTGGTATTAATGCATTGTTTGTTTTAATATCTCAAAACATGCTATTTAAATAACATGAACGCTGTCAAATTACCCAAAATAATGCAATAATCCAGTACTGAAATATCTAATTTACTAGATGCAGACGATAATATTTTTCTTTTTGCTATTTAGCTTTAAGTCGTAATTTTATAGCGAGTAACAGCAGATAAAACCTTTTGAAGCG